TACGGTATGAAGATGGTGATGGCAGCGATAATAGTGGTGGTGGTTATGGTGGTGGTGGTGGTGGTCTTCATTACCATAGTTGGAAGGGGTAAGTGTATGGGAGGGGGGGGGAGAGGGAGGTATAGGGAGGAAAGGTGAAGGGTATAAGGTGATCTCCTGTAGTGAACACATGGACCCATCTGCAGGAGGTTGAGTGATCAGCTCTGCCCCCTCCCCCGACACTCAACATTACTCACACTTCACACATCCACCTTCAAACATAAACACACCAGACATCCAATAGGAGAGAGAGAGAGAGAGAGAGAGAGAGAGAGAGAGAGAGAGAGAGAGAGAGAGAGAGAGAGAGAGAGAGAGAGAGAGAGAGAGAGAGAGAGAGAGCAAAACACCTTCATTCTTAAAGACTGCCAAGTTTATCTGTTTATTATTGTGACTTTAAGTGAGAAGGTAAGGGGTATCGCATCTTAGTATGGTAGTTGCGGTACAATTTTTAATCTTATCACACTGTTATCTTTGTGTTGTTGCTGAAGTGAGCCAGTTAGATATGTCCTCAAGTCTATTAACCAGAGAAATTAATACATATTGTTTCTGGTTAGTGTGTGGGAGGAAGGGAGTGGTGTAGGGGCGTGAGATGGAAGGAAGGGGGTGGTGGGGGCGTGAAGGGGATGGAAGGAAGGGGTGTAGGGGCGTGAGATGGAAGGAAGGGGTGGTGTAGGGGCGTGAGATGGGAGGAAGGGGTGGTGTAGGGCGTGGGATGGGAGGAGGGGTGGTGTAGGGGCGTGAAATGGAAGGAAGGGGTGGTGTAGGGGCGTGAGATGGGAGGAAGGGGTGGTGTAGGGGCGTGGGATGGAAGGAAGGGGTGGTGTAGGGGCGTGAGATGGAAGGAAAGGTGGTGTAGGGGCGTAGATGGAAGGAAGGGGTGGTGTAGGGGCGATGAAGGGCGTGGGAAGGAAGGGATGGGAGGAAGGGGTGGAGGAGGGTGGTGTAGGGGCGTGGGATGGAAGGAAGGGGTGGTGTAGGGGCAGGATGGAAGGAAGGGGGTGGTGTAGGGGCGTGATGGGATGGAAGGAAGGTGGTGTAGGGGCGTGGGATGGGAGGAAGGGGTGGTGTAGGGGCGGGGGAAGATGGGGCGGAGAGGAGGAAGGAGGTGTAGGGGCGTGGGATGGGAGGAAGGGGTGGTGTAGGGGTGTGGGATGGGAAGGAAGGGGTGGTGTAGGGGCGTGGGATGGGAGGAAGGGGTGGTGTAGGGGTGGGATGGAAGGAAGGGGTGGCGGGGATGGGAGGAAGGGTGGTGGGGTGAGATGGAAGGAAGGTGGTAGGGGCGTGGATGGGAGGAAGGTGGTGTAGGGGCGTGAGATGGAAGGAAGGGGTGATGGGAGGAAGGGTGGTGGAGATGGAAGGAAGGGGTGGTGTAGGGGTGTGGATGGGAAGAAGGGGTGAGATGGAAGGAAGGGGGTGGTGTAGGCGGGTGGTGTGAGGGGCGTGAGATGGAAGGAAGGAGGTGGTGTAGGGGCGTGGGATGGGAAGAAGGGGTGGTGTAGGGGTGTGAGATGGAAGGAAGGAGGTAGGGGCGGGATGGGAGGAAGGTGGTGTAGATGGGAGGATGGGGTGGGATGGGAGGAAGGGGTGGTGTGGGATGGGATGAAGGTGGTGTAGGGGTGTGGGATGGAGGAAGGAGTGGTGTAGGGGCGTGAGATGAAGGAAGGGGGTGGTGAAGGGGCGTGAGATGGAAGGAAGGGGTGGTGTAGGGGCATGGGATGGGAGGAAGGAGTGGTGTAGAGGTGTGGGATGGGAGGAAAGGGTGGTGTGCGTGAGGGGATGGGGCGGATGGGATGAAGGGGTGGTGTAGAGGTGTGAGATGGAAGGAAGGTGGTGTAGGGGCGTGGGATGGGATGAAGGGGTGGTGTAGAGGTGTGGGATGGGAGGAAGGTGGTGGGGCGAGAAGGGAGGAAGGGACGATGTAGGGGCGTGGGATGGGAAAGTAGGGGTGGTGTAGAGGCGGGATGGGAGGTACACAGAACAAAGTTATCAGTACGTGTAGGTGAGAGTGTTGGCTGTATATGGCTCTGGTGTAACAACCCTTCCTGTGTCACATGGGGCTAGGTCGTGACACACACACAAGTGTTCAACCATAAAAAGGTGATCAACCTTCCCCGAAACAGACACTACAACCCCCGCCCTCACACACTGCAAAACCTCCCCACACACACACTACAACCCCTCCACACACACTGCAAAACCTCCCCCCACACACAACAACTCACTCCCCAAAACACACTACAGCACACCCTACACACACACACACAAGCGAGGTTAGGAGATCAACAGATGATAGCGTCGGGCTGGAGAAACCGCCATGAAAAATATGAGTGTGTGCGTGTGTGTGTGTGTATGTGTGTGTGTGAGGGGGGGGGAGGAACCAGACCCCCACACACAACATTTATACTCGAACAACAACACAAGTACAGTTCTGGATATAAAGTACAGCATTAAGGTCCTTTTTAAATTAGGGTGACACTATCATCAGACACATCATCACTGGTACAGGTCTGTGTGTGGCGTTTAGATAATGTATTTCTTATGTATCATGAAGGTGGTGTCTTAACCTAGCTATACACACAGTAATGGTAGAACGGACGTGTTCAGAGAGGCCTTCAGTAGCCACGACTCTCTCGCCAGGCAGCCCCTTTCCTTCCTCGCGTTGTTTCATTTGGTAATGGAAAGCATTTCAATATGTGCCAAGTCCTTGTGCACTTTCGACTGCTTTCAGATTAGACCGAGTATATGGCGCTCATCCAAAAGTTGAACATGCGTTAATTGAGGTTCGCCCGTGTTCTTGTGAGAGGATTAGTGTTCTTCTCAAATTTCAAAGGAATCCCTCCAGTCCATCAAGTATTATCGAATTCACATGAAGGAAAAGGCCACGGACGCGACGGACATGACGCGTGCGATTGCATAATATTCGGCGAACTCATCCAGGGATGTAATTCATGTAGGAACCATTGAGAGCCCGGGTGTGGTGCAGGGTATGTGGCGGTCACCTACACCTGGCCCACATCTTCATTATACATGCCAGGCAGGATGCACTCCACGGCCCCTGGTCCAAGGTGTAATTTATACTTTATTAACGAGACTTACCAGTGGTGATTATAGCTGCCCCTTGTCATGTGGGCTGACCACGTCACCTACACACGCCCACATCTGATTCCCTCTTGGCAAACCTCTTAAAGTGTTCTCTGATAACGAGGATGCGGCTCTAGAATATTTTATTTTCATCTCCTTACTTATTTATTTATTTGTTTATTTATTTATTTGTGCGGATAACAGCCATGGAATTTTTCGTAGGATAAAAAAGTACTTTTTGAAGGCAGAGTGAGTATGGTGTGGTTAAAAGGTTAAAGTAATTATTCCTACCATTTCTACGAGTAGGATAATTCACCACCCTTATGATACTGCTACCATATGTAAATGATGGTACAGATTACTTTATTACTAAACTTGCACTTGTAACAGCATTTCTGGATAAACTTCCCGAAATCGAAATGGTATCACCACAAGGCACCGACTCGCACCAGTACACCACGCCGGGATAATAGTAATAGTAAACATCGCCACTAACACACACGGTGACTCCAGGTGCACATGTGGTGAACTTTACCGGGGGTGATTACTTCATTCACCACACGAGGAGAAATAAAATAGCAAAAGTAACAAATAATAAGGAGAAAAATATTAACGTCACGTGAGGACAGCGACTGCTCACCCGACTGCCATCTTCAACCATTTCCTGAGACAAAAAACTACGGTATTTGTTCACTTTTATAATTTTCCTGACATAATCATCTACTTCTTTACTTCTACTGCCATATTCAGTTCTCTCAGCTACAAGTAAACGCCGTAACAAAAACCCTCTAGCTGGTTCATGACGGGAAGAAATGACTCCCGCCCAAACAACTATTTTCAGTGTGCATCAGCGAGAACCACCGACCTATGTAAACAAACACGAGCTTCTCATAGTAATTTCTACCACTATTAGTTTGGTTTGTTTTCATGCCATCCATTAACAGGTGTACAATTAAACTATGTACTTTTAACCATTGCCAGTCTTATTTTTTAGTCAGGATACCAAAACTGTTGCCCATTTAAATGAACAATAGAGTAAATGAATTAAGATAACTTACTGATAAGACACAAGGTTGTAAAACACGTACAGTACATAGTTAGAGTCAAGAAGTGAATGGTCGGTTAGTGCGGTACAACACTCAAGGATAATTCGTCACGCTTAACAGTGAAACGAAATAACATACAAGTGCCCTGTTTTACATCACTAGTTACAGACCAGCTCTCCCTCGCCTGTACACTTATCCCTCAGCAGCTGGAGTATCTTCTAAACTCCTTATTAACTGTTATGTAAACCTAGATGAGAAGATACAGTTGAGGATAAAATTTACCACGACACTGAAAGCAGTATCTGACATGATCTACTTAGGGTCATGGCGGTAAGAGGAGACAGAGCGTGTAACATTTATATAGATTTTCTTTGTGAGTTTTTTTTTTGTGTTTTGGGATAATTACTAATGAAAAACAGTATTTACCAATCTGTGAATTACAAGTAATTAATATACTGTACTGTCAAGTGTTAAGGGGGGCTTTGTCCCCAACTGTACCTTCACGGACTTGGAGAATTGCTCGTGTTTAATAATGTTACAGGATGTGTGTAAAGTGTTAACAAGAATACACACGTATGTAACTATAATATAAGCACGTGGGAGAAACTCACACCGGGACAGTCATCATGGATGCCCAATTGGGACGACAAAATTTTATTTGTTCATTTCGTCCGGTGCTGCCGGGCGCCTGGTCATCTGTTATTGTTTAGCCCATGAGGACAACGGGGCTTGACAATGACCAAACGAGAGATAGCGTGCAGCAGGTGAGATAGTCTCCCAGGGTGAAACAGAGAAAGAGAGAGAGCGAGAGACAAACAACATAGAGAGACTTACGCTGGCGTAGAGTTTGCCACGTTTGTTCATACACAGGAAGAGTCCGGTGGCCTCACTCCGCATCTCCATCACCCCGCGGTGGATGGGGCGCACATACAGCAGCGCTGGGGAGAGGGGGAGACACATGTGTTAGTGACTGTCTTACACACCTGTCTATATATCTCTCTCTCCCACATGTACACACACACATACACACACACACACATGCTACACAACCATCATACAGACTGTGGTCACCCGTCACTCCGCGGTGGATGGGGACAAGCGTAATTATTCAGCATGGGAGTGGCACGCGTTAGTGACTGCTCTACAGACCTGTTACAACCCCTATACCTGCTAAACAACTATCTATACGTGCTACCTAAACACACACACACACACACACCTGTATAATACTTCACCCCTTCACAACCCCTAAGACCTGAGATTAAGCTACAACATCTAGTCACAACCCTGAAACTACTCTTACCTCTCCCCTAACTTACCTCCCCCCCCCCCCTCCCTGTGGTTGTGAGAGAGGGAGGGAGAGGGGGATTTTACCTCACTCATGCTCCTGACCATAAAAGGTTGTCCGATTTTATCTAGAACTGTCTCGGATTTCTGTTATCTGTCGGCAAGATTATTACACCCCGGGCAGCGGAGCCTTGACGGCGGGCGTGATGCTGTGTGGTGATAGTGACACACACACACACATACACACACACACACACACACACACACACACACGCACACACGACCCCCACACATATCAGGCACACACCCCACCCCCACACACACACACCAGGGCCCCCAACGCAAACATGAGACTACACACACACACACACACACATACATACAAAAGGCCCTCACACACACCAGGGCCCCACCACAAACACTAAGCCCTACACATACACATCAGGGGCCCCTACACACGTACACACACACCAGGACCACACACCAAAGTTTAACACACACATTCACAACCTTTCTCTTTATGTCGACGCGGCCAAAAAAAAAAAAAAATACCTCGTTTGACCAGACACTTCGCTGAAAACTCTAATCATGAAGATGGAACACATGACCAGGTAAAATCCCAGTCATATATGTCGACCAGATGATTGGGTGAAGACACAATCATAAGAATTGGATACAGGATTCGGTGATATCCCAATCAAAGAGTCAAGGACATGATTCGGTAAAGATTCGGTGAAACGACTAAGTTTGCTGTTGCTAATAATGTTAAGGTAAGTTAGGTTACGTTAGGTTAGGTTAAGATTGGTTGACAGGTTAAGTAAAAAAAAATAATAAGATATGTTAAATAAAGTTGGGTTGAGTTTAAGTAAAGGTAGGTTAAGGAAAATTTGGTTAACTAAACAGCTCAAGTTACGATGAATGAGATAAGTTTGGGTTAAAATTAGGGTTAAATAAAGTTAGGTCAAGTAAACTAAGATCAGGTGTTAAGTGAAGCCAGTTTAAGTAAAGTTGATTAAGTAAAGTAAATGGTCAGGTGAAAGTCAGGTTAAGTGGCCAGGTGAAATAAGTTAGGTTAAGTGGTCAGGTGAGATAAGTTAGGTCAGGTGGTCAGGTGAAATGTTAGGTTAAGTGATCAGATTAAGTGGTCAGGCGAAATAAGTTAGGTTAAGTGGCCAGGTGAAATACGTTAGCTTAAGTGGTCAGGTGAAATACAGTTATGTTAAAATTACTTAACTTAGATTAAACAAATTCAGGTTAAATCAGGGTTAAGTAAGTGGAGTTAGGTTAAGTTTATTTCACGTGTTCAAAATCCCTCCATTAACTTCCAATATCAGACTCTTCACACCTGTCCGCCTTTGATTACAGTCGAGGCCAAAATTCCCTCAACACACAGCAATATCTGGCATCTAACTTGTGGGCTATTTATGTGTTAGGTTTACGGTTAGTCAATGTTGTTATTATTTTGAATTATATTTTAGAATAACAAAATGAATAAGACATCTATGTGATTATAGTTTACAGCAGGTAAACAATGTTTTATAAATTACACCAGAATAACATGAACACATTACTATTATACCAAGAACAATCAGAGGAAATAAGAGTTTAAGATTGCATTACCCCTCGCCTACATGACCCTCGAGGTGAGTGTGTTGAATGTTGCCAAAAAAAAAAAATAATAATAAATAAAAAAAAAGGGTCTAAGGAATATTGTCTCCGACTTAACCATTTATGGAATGAGTGTCAGTGAGTCACACCAGGCGAGGATTCACCGTAGACTTGAGGCCGAGTTGATAGGCTAATGTTATAGGCTGAATTGTGGTGATGGAGGCAGCACAGCGCCATTTATCGTTATGAAAGAGTATGTGTGTGTGTGTGTGTGTGTGTGTGTGTGGATAACGTTACAATATCGGAGCGTTAACGACTTACAGGCTACCTAACGTAATATAACCTATTCTATCCTTGCCTTAAACTGACCTAACCTAACTTTATCCATCAGGACGATAACGCTCAGACATAGTAACATTAAGGTCGACGATACAAACAAGAATCTTAAAACAGTTTTAATAAGAACAAACGAGAAACCAGTGTCATACATTCCTCGCCGCGTTAAAAATATTGAAATTAAAAAATCAGGTTTAGCCAAGACGCCGTCGGGTTAATTAGCACATAAACTTTCGAGTTACTGTAGTTTGTGTCCAGATTTTTTTTTTTTTTTTACTTAACAGAACTTCATATAAGGTAAATTTGGGTTAGGTTGGCTTAATTTAGATTAGGACCAGCTAAGTTAAGTCTATTTCTTGTTGGGTCAGAATTTTTAAGTCTCTGAATAAGACGTCAAGAGTCTTAATAGCGCTTTTCTCTAATTTCCGAAAAAAAAATAGCAAATGGCCGCAAAAGGAAGGTCAAAATCCATGTAAATAAATAATCTATAAAGACAACTACGACCAGGTATAGTATCACACAAAACAAACCATGATTAACTGATTAGCACAACACCAGTGTACAGTAGATGTTTCAGTGTTGTTGATGGCAGGTTTGTGTTGTAGGTCACCAACCACAGCACCAGGAGCAAGTCAGCTTGGTGTGGCGTGTTGGCTGTGACTGGCGGGTTGGTGTATGAGGAGGGCGACGGTGGGATGCGGCCAACAAATGTCAAACATGCTGCCTGGGTGACGTGTAGTAAATAATTCAGATTCAGATGCTGTGTTTACAAATATTGATACGCGTACAGACCTAAAGATACACTACAGTTATTTTCCACCTTCAAGACCTAAAGATACACTACAGTTATTTTCCACCTTCAATATTAAAGCTTTTAAACTTAATTTTGAAATAAAGCAAATGCGAGTTTAGGTATACAGTACAGGTGCAGTAATTTCCTATACAGAGAAATATTTCAGATTTTATGTATATCAACAAACCCCAGGTACCGCTGATGTCCATACTAGCGTTGTGTTTATCTTGGAACAAAATTATCTACCTTAAACTTATCACTTAACAATTGTCATGCAAACGTGTATTGTTCTCATTGTAATTTTGACATTACTTTTATAAGTTAAGAAGTAAAGTACCGTATATTCTACATTGTTCAGTTTCAAGAAATTTCATCATACGGGTGTTAGTGAGTCCGCGTCCAGGATTCTCAAAGGTTTGTACATTTATCTTTATATTTTCCTCTCAGCTGGGGGTTACACACATCAAACCGCCTCACTTGGGCTCCAACAACAATGATCGCGGCTAAAAAGTCGTCAAAACTACAATAAAACTCTTCCTTAACTAGACACAAGCGAAGAAAAACCATTTATCAACTTTTTTAAGAGTCTAGGCTTCAGCTGGACCTACCTTACCCTACCCTATCCTACCCAAACTCTTCTACCCTACCCTACCCAAACTCTTCTACCCTACCCTACCCTACCCAAACTCTTCTACCCTACCCTACCCAAACTCTTCTATCCTACCCTAGCCAAAGTCTTCTCCCTTTCTACCTCTACCCTACCTACCTACCCCAACCCAAACTCTTCTACCCTACCCTACCCTACCCTACCCTACCCTACCCAAACTCTTCTACCCTACCCTACCCTACCCTACCCAAACTCTTCTACCCTACCCAACCCTGGAGTTTTAATTATATTTGAATATCCTTTGTTTAGAAGATGATTGTGAGGCAGACTGACTACATGAACAGTCTAGTAACGTATCTGACATAATACCTAGGTTGAGGCACCACCATTACTGGGTATATAAAGAGATTATATAGTTTTTAGATACATTAACAATCATATCCAGGTTTAAAACTCCACCATTATGATATAGTTACCACGGGGGAAATTACTCCACCAGCCCTTGTACCGCTGAATGAACTTTGGCTTCTGATAAGTAATATTTCCCAACAGGGGTACCATTACCGTCTGCTGTACATGGCGACGCACTCAGGCAATATTAAGACGGGTGAGTGTACAGTCACGGGTGAGTCCTGAGTCATATTCTGGGGCTCGTCATGGGTTAAATCAAACAACTGGTCTTTCCTTTGTTTGTGTGTTATTAGATATAGTTATGTTTAAGCAGTGTGTTTTGTTGTGACTATATGACTTAAAGAAACATTGGTAAATTTATTGTGAGGCGACTCTAACTGGAGAGACATGATGTGACAGTTTTATCTATCTAGTGTGTTAGTCTGGTCGTGTTTGAGTGGCAGAGATGCTGTCAATGTCTAAGAGCTCAGGAAGGTCAGGTACATTGTGAAAACCTCTCCCCTACCCCCTCCCCCCCTCACTCTCACTCTCCCTCACCTCCAACCCACTCCTTCACTCTCACCACCTATCCCCCCCTCCCCCTCAACCCTACCTCGCCATCGTCCCTCCTCCTCCTTCGTCCCTACTCCCTATCCCTCCTCCCTCCATCACCATCCTCTCCTCCTCCCTCACCATCCTCTCCTCCTCCCTCACCACCCCCCTATCCCTCCTCCCTCCCTACCACCCCATACCCCCTCCCTCACCATCCTCCCCTCCCTCCCTCACCACCTCTCCCCTCCCCAGCGCACCTGATGAAACTGTTGCCTGTAATTTATAGAAGACCTGCCCGTATATGGCCTCCCTCCCATCCTCCCTCCTCCTCCCTCCCTCCCGAGTCTCTCTCCGACCCTCTCACTC